ATACAGACTAGGTGTGGCCTCCCCTGGGTACAGTCTGTGGTACAGAATACGGTCAATAGCCTTGTCCTGCTCCAATTTTTTCAGACATTCTATCAACTTCTTCTTGTAGCCGCTTCCTGGATCTCTTTTCAGACGTTCATAAGTGTTTAAGTCACTAATGAGTGTCATAACTTTCTCATGATAGTCTTTCTGGTTCAAAATCACTGTGCACCTTCCTTTGTCTGCTGGGAGAATGATGATGTTTTTGTCCTTGCTAAGAGTGGTGAGTGCATCCCTCTCCTCTCTACTGATGTTGGAAGGTGGTGGTTTGGCATTTCTGAGGCAGGATGAAACTTTGATTCTGAGTTGTTCTGCTTCACCCTTTTTAATTTTGTTGTTGCGTATGGCTTATTCTGTTGCTGTGATCATCTCCACCAGAGGAATTCTACTTGGTGCAACCGCAAAGTTCAGTCCCCTGGCAAGAATCTCTGTCTCTGGCTGGGTGAGCTGTCTGTCAGATAAATTCTTCACCCACTTTTCTGTCTCCCTGACATGTAATTGTCTACTAGAGTATTGTCTTACACTGAATATGTTGTTATTGGAATAGTGATGGTGTTGATGAGTTATTAGTAAGTTAAACTTGTTTTGTTGTCGAATCTTAGACTTGACATGCTGTGCTAAGCATGCCTGATCTGTACTGTCCATCTCTTGCTGAAGTGTGGTCTGATCTAGACACGCTGTTAGTTTTTGTTTAATTTGCTCTTCTTTGGCCTTCAAGTGGTCCAGAGGACCAGATTTAACTTTCTTAGATTTTTTTTACCTGGATAATTGAGCATGCATCATCATGATATCTGATAACTGAAACATGATAACTGATACACAATAACTGAAACATAAATGGTAAAATGGTAAATGGACTGTACTTATATAGCTCCTTTCTATCTTATCAAGACACTCAAAGCGCTTTACACTACAATCTGTGCCACATTTACCCCTTTATACAGCACTCTACCAGATCTCTACAAAGCTAAATGAACAAATTCTAAAGAGACTAAGCAGTGCTTTATCACGTTCATACACCGATGGGACACACATCAGAGGCAATGAGGGGTTCAGTGTCTTGTCCATGGATACTTCAGCATGTGACAGCTGGTGGATTCGAACCCTCAACTCTTGCATTGGAGGACGATTGCTCTAACCACAAAGCCACAGCCGCCCCTAACAGCCGTCCCTACACGATAACTGACACATGATACCTGATAACTGATACATGATAACTGATATCTGACAACTGAAAACTGAAAACTGATACATGATACCTGATAAAAGATAACTGATACATGATAAATGATACATAATAACTGATACATGATAACTGATACACGATAACTGATAACTAAAACCTGAAAACTGATAACTGATAAATGATATCTGACACCTTCAGCAACTGTGAAGCAGAGGTCGTCTTGACCTCTGCTTGGTCTGATGATGGGTATTTAAGCTTTTCCTAAACTCTTTGTCTGTGGGCAGACCGTGTAACCGGAGCTTTGATTTACCATTGTTTTAAGCCTATTTTCAATTGTTGCACCCCTTGCAAGGATTAAACCTGGGTTGAAAAGATCTTCCCGCTTCCTTGTTTTGCTTATTTGATTAATAAGTAGATGATAGGATAATTTATAACTTTATAACTGTCTATTGCTGTTGCTGTTGTCCATTGTTTTCATCATTCTTTGTTGAATCAAGTCTCTCTTTTAAATGAGTCCTCGAGGCTCAATGGGATTTACCTGTAGAAATAAAGGTTGAATGAATAATTAAATTATCCAACACAAATCCTGGCCGGGGGTGTTTCTGGGTGGAGTTTGCATGTTCTCTTCGTGCACGTGTGGGTTTTCTCCGGGTACTCTGATTTCCTCCCACTGACCAAAAACATGCATGTTAGGCTGATTGGTAACTCTAAATTGTCCCTAGGTGAGAGAGAGAGAGAGAGAGAGAGAGAGAGAGAGAGAGAGAGAGAGAG